AACATGAGGGCCAGCAACATGAGGGCTAGCAACATGAGGGCTAGCAACATGAGGGCCAGCAACATGAGGGCCAGCAACATGAGGGCTAGCAACATGAGGGCTAGCAACATGAGGGCTAGCAACAGTGGCTTACATGCACAAATTGCGGCTGAATGAGTTTGCAAATTACTTTTCATGTTTTGCACATTCACTAAACTTGGTAGGAAAATGTCCTGCTCAATGTTGTTAAGAAACATTGGTTTTCTTTGAATTTGTTGAAAGTCCGTGCACATTTTTTCTCTGCTGCTATTTATCGTCGCTGGCCCTTGCTGCTATATTATCTGATGGGGTGTGCTCATTCACCCATTGTGAAAAAATGTCAAGATTCTAGGTGGGCAGCTTGTGCCGATGCAAGAAAAGGCAGTTTTATACAGCTTTTCTGCAATAAAACAAGACTTGGATGACGCTTGAAATAAAGATGAAGAGAAGGCAGCGTCGACAAGAGGCTGGAGGCCTAGTGTCATCCGTGATGAAGTTGGAAACATTAATAATGGTCATATTGTTAGGATCAAGTATCACAGCGTTGTTAAGTGACCGGTGATTCAGTCTTCTGGCCGCCAAGACTTGAACACAGCTTGTGCACGCTGTGAATCCTTGCATGGGTGTGTTCGAGCCATGTGGTATACTGAACAAATCCACAAGGGCCGTGACGAGGATTCGAACCTGTGTCCGGGAGCATCCCAGACACTGCCTTAATCGACTGAGCTACGACAGGGTAAAAGGGTTGAAACCGAAGTTCTACTGAACTTACTGGATCCCGTAGCCTCTCCGAGGCACAAACCAGGCTTTTACACAACCCCCCCCCCCCTGCACCCGAGCTATGTCAATAGGCCGTTCTCCCTCTTCGCCCTTACATCATCACACACAGAGATCACACTAACGTGATGCATCAAATGAACAAATCCACAAGGGATCCCTTGTGGATTTGTTCATTTGATGCATCACGTTAGTGTGATCTCTGTGTGTGATGTGGTATACTTTTTCAGACGCTGCACAAAACGCCAAGGACCTGACTGAGTGTGAGGATTATAACTATAATCTCGAAAAGAACACAATCGAAATCGCGCGAATGATCATTTCAATGGTTCGAACACTCTTGAGACACGTGTTGAATCTCAAACGCCTTCCCAGAAGTTTAAAAGACGAACATTTCTTGCCATTACTGATAGCTACCTTTCTGACGAGTCAAAACGCCAGAAAGCTTATCAAAAGGTGAATGGTGTATTTAGATTTCTTGTTCAGTTAGAGTTGTTTACACCCGAAGAGATTGTAAAGAGGTCATCACATCCTATTCAATCATCTCAGGAAGGTCTGAAGGAAGTCTTGGGTTTGTGCAGTTTACTGAACTGTTGAAAACTTGATCTTGCTTCTCTTACTGGCACCAGACAAGACGCTGTAGTTGCACAGTATTTGTTGTCTTGTCTTACAAATGAAGAAAATGCCTTGCGCACCTGTCACTCAGGTTGACCAACTGCAGTGGAAACGCTCATTTTCATAACTGAAAAAGATAACAAATGAACATGGAGCACAAAGGTCCAAAACAGATTGAACAATCTCACTCTACTGAAAAAATTGAACATGAACTGCTTGAAATATTCATTTCCAGTATCATCAACAAATTTGTTCATGCCAAATCTAGAAAATGTAACTTGTAAATTGTAGTTTGATACTTTTGACATTTGAAATGTATACATACATGTAAAACTATTACTGAAGCGTCAGACATATTTGTCGTATTGTCTGGCTGTACAGCAAATGGTAAAATATTATTACTCTTACTGTGCAAGTATGAAGTTTATGTTTGAATATTTGTAAATTGGCCTTTTGTTTTTCGTAATATATGGCCTCATTATAACATGTGGTACAGGCGCCGCACTGGCTTAATCTGGCTCTGCAGGCGGCTACAAGATTCCATCACAAGAGAACGAAACAACTGAGTCCCACCTCACAAAAGAAAAATAAAGCACAGAGAAGACATGATCACGACATACAAGAGGATGTTATGACTCGGTTCGAAGACCGGCATAACTAGCTATTTGGCATTCACTTGTACTGAATGCAAATAGTTTTTAGCTTACATATTATTGTATGTCGTGATTATTGTTGCATATCCTTGCAACCGGATTAGATATGCAGATTTGATCTGAAACATATGTTTAGTTAGGTAATAATTCCTTAGCCTGTGCTAACGAATGTAAATTGCTTACTAGGTGCTATTATATTGAATTAAAAGTAAAGATATTTACTTAATCTGATTTATTTCACTTTGTTAAATGTCATTAATTAATTTGAATAACATATGCAGAGGAGAATAAAGGCATAAGAGCTGATGTATTCAGAAGTTAGGCCATAAGGTCATTTACATATCCTGTTTTGCAAGTTGCATTTTTTTATTTTATTAGCATACTGTTTGTAAAAAGTATTATGCAACCATTACACTCTATTAACTTATCTGGACAGTAGTGTCTGTGACGAGGTTAAAGCCGTCTGTCGGACGCACCTGACCCATTTTCTGTGTTCAGTCGGGGAAGGCCGAGGTCTCACTAAAACGGGTGTAGTCCCCCCTTGTACTTTATGATTTTCTTTTCACAGAGGTGAGGTGGTGTGAGAGGTAAGCTAGATGATGAAAACAGTTCAGCAAGAGCAGTTCAGTCCTCAGGGTCACAAGGCTTGTTTCGGTCGAAAGAAGAAGGTCCTGGTCGTTGACGGCAGTGAACTGTCTGGTCGGAAGCCAACAACCTATCCCGGGGTGGAACAACAACCTATCCCGGGGTGGCCATGTTGTGTTCGAAAACGGACGTCCGTCAGTCCACGAGGTCATGGCTTGTTTGTGGTTAACTTTGAGAGGAAGCTAGCCGGTGTCCTGCTAGAGTAAGCGTTTAGCCCCTGCGGTAATTCTGTGGAGGACTGGCCAGTGAATTGCTGGGCAATTGGACTCGCCTGCGGAAGTACCTCAGTAGTAGGGCACTCAGGGAAGGAGCCCTGTAAGGTTGTGATCCAGGGAGGACTCCCTGTAATAGAAGACCGCACAAGTTTCTGAGGTGTCCTGAGTGAAAGTGACACGTAAAGTGCTATCTATGATATATATATATATATATATATATATATATATATATATATATATATATATATATATATATATATATATATATATATATATATCTTTTTTGTTTTTTGTTCGCATATTGGACCCTTTCCTCTGTTTTATGAGCTGTGGAAAAGAAGTTCCTGTAAAATAGTCTAATAGGGGGTATAGGTGTTTGTGTTAGTTGTCTCTTCGGAGGTTGCATGGCTTTTCACTTTCCTTCTTATGATGTCTTCGATGAAACCATTGGAGAAGCCGTTATTGACTAGAACCTGCCTTACCCTACAGAGTTCTTCGTCGACTTGCTTCCATTCTGAGCTGTGGCTGAGAGCACGGTCGACGTATGCGTTAACAACACTCCTCTTGTACCTGTCAGGGCAGTCGCTGTTGGCATTTAGGCACATTCCTATGTTTGTTTCCTTTGTGTAAACTGCAGTGTGGAAACCTCCGCCCTTTTCCATGACTGTTACATCTAGAAAAGGCAGCTTCCCATCCTTTTCCGTCTCGTAAGTCAAACGCAGCACGGAACTCTGCTCAAATGCCTCCTTCAAGCTCCTGCAGATGTCTGACATCAGGTACCTGTGTAAAAATGTCGTCAACATACCTGCAGTATATCTATTAAATATGACCGAATAATAATAATATATGTCTATTTAATAATAGACATATATTATTAAATCTGTAGGGTATGACCGAAAAAGTAAGATTTAATAATTCTAACACGAATTTTCTCAATCTTTCGTACATTTCTTTTCACTGTTGGAGGTAATTCAAAAATCAATTCTCCAAAATTCATTTTTATTTCTAGTCTGACGCGACACTTGAGCGCGTTTCGTAAAACTTGTTACATTTTCAAAGACTTTACACATACACAACTGAATAGAACTTACATATCTCCGATTTGTTTATATCTACATTTGAGTGAGGTGGATGGGGTGAGGTGGTATTTAATAGGGTATTAATTTCATCAACACAAGACAGAACACGAAACAATGGGTATTGAAATGGAAGTGATTGTAGAAAGCCTATTGGTCCAAATTTCTTGATGCTTCTATATTGGAGCGGAGTCTTGAGGTGGGTAGCATATAGTTGTGCATTAATTGGCTGTTGATTGCTGGATCAACAATCAACAGCCAATTAATGCTCACTGTGAGCACCAGCAGAGTTAGTGTCGCACACTGATGGGCACTAGAGCCACAGAGCCACACAGCCAGAGCCACAGAACCACACAGCCAAAGCCACACAGCCGCACAGCCAGAGCCACAGAGCCACACAGCCCACACAGCCACACAGCCAGAGCCACAGAGCCACACAGCCAGAGTCACACAGCCAGAGCCACACAGCCACACAGCCAGAGCCACACAGCCAGAGCCACACAGCCAGAGCCACACAGCCAGAGGCACAGAGCCACACACAGCCAGAGCCACAGAAATGTCGGGAAAATAGTCTTCAACGTAAGAGTCGCAAATAGCTTAAACAGATGAGGTAGAACATCAACTCACTCACATCTCACTTTGCAACTTTAAGTGTAAATGAGCTTGGTAGAACGAGAGAATAAATAGTGCATTAAACTACATACAGTTAGTCCCCCGCCCACTATCACACGCTCTTCCTGCCCACTAACACACCCTCTTCACGCCCACTAACACACCCTCTTCACGCCCACTAACACACGCTCTTCACGCCCACTATCACACCCTCTTCACGCCCACTAACACACCCTCTTCCCGCCCACTATCACACCCCTCTTCCCGCCTACCAACACACCCTCTTCCCGCCCACTAACACACCCTCTTCCCGCCCACTAACACACCCTCTTCCCGCCCACTAACACACCCTCTTCCCGCCCACTAACACACCCTCTTCCCGCCCACAGGCTACACAGTCGGTGGACGGCACCAACGACGCAGGCGCCGACGATGAACCACAGGACGAAGGAGAAGGTGCTCCTGGACGAGATCCTGGGGAACGGAACCTACGACAGGAAGATCAGGCCCTCTAACATTCACAAGAAAGGTAGGGGGTGTCACGTGCACACACCCACTCGAGCCGCTGTGACTCCCCACTCTCTCCTTATGTGATGTGATATGAGAGGCGAGACTCGTGTCAAGATCCTCTTCTGTGTTTCGATCCTGGTCATAGATCCACTTCCAAGACATTGGGGCAATGTTGTTGTTGTTGTTTTATACTTAGCTACTCAGAGCAAAATATCCATGTAGCACGGGCTATAGTGAGCCCGTAATTGAGTTCGGTTATTCGCAATAAGCAGGTTGTTACTGTGATGTTTGGGTCAAATATTTAAATGGAGGTAGGGGAGAGGGGGGTTTTTCCTCGTTTTCTCTGGTTTATTTTCCGCTTCTGTTTTAGCGCTCTGTTTTTAGTCTATTTTTATTAACATTATCTTGGTGGCGGATGTAGATGCACAGTGTGTACTAGTGAGTCCCATTCTTCAACGGCTTTTCTAGTCACTGTGGACTTTCCATCTAATACAGCTGCTGTTATTGGATGAATGTTGAGTTTGATGCGCAGGGCTTCAGTAGCTTCACATTCCAGTAAGTAGTGCAATAGTGGCGCCTCTGCTTCTGTTCCATAGATATGACATACTTTAACTATTGCGTTTATTACCTCTCAGCAGCACTTGTAACCAAGTCTGAGTCTGTGTATGGCTACTGCAATGTCTCTGGATATCTTTTTGCCAGGCTTGAAAGAAGATCGGAGTCCCAACTCTCTCGCTAGATGGCTTTTTAAATCAATTAGTTCATCTGGATCTTTTACTATAACGAATATGTCATCTACATAACGACAGTATACAGTTGGTTTTTGTCTACTACTGAAGACTCTGTCTTCGATGGTTCCCATGTAAAATTTAGCGAATAACACTCCTAAGGTGAAGCCCATTGCTACTCCGTCTATTTGTAGATACATGTCCCCTTGCGGACTGATGATAGGAGCTTCCTTTGTACATGCTTCGAGAAGGCTCTTCAAGTGTGGCTCGGGTATGTCTAATTTGGGGGTGTTCTCGTCTCTGTATACTCTGTCCAGGATCCTGGGCCAAATTATAGTGTCAACCGGGACGTTGATAAATATGGACTCGACGTCCAGGGAAGCAATAATTCCTTTGAGCTGCGTAGTAGTCTTGATGTAAAAATCCATATTGGTATAAATCCAATATGCCCAGCACTGTCCTTTCACTTGAGAATGAACCATGTAGGTTCGAAACGTTGTGTAAATTTATGATAAATGTAATACATTCTACAGTTAATTATTTATTTTTCTTCACCTCGAACAAAGATGACATTTGGAGATATCCTCTTCCAATTAAACCAAGATGCAAGAGCACCAATCAGAGGGATAGAAGCCCTAAAAAAGAAAATAATCAATTCAGAATATGCAGTCATATTCAATGAAACATGTTTAAATGAAAACCTCCTGCCAGTATACACTAATATATGTATATATTTAATTGTAGATTCCCTTCATGAATATATGCATTTCATCACAGTTTTTTTCTTGTAACTTATTCTTTGTTTAAAGGCAAGCATTTACGAATTACATTATTCCTGAATTCATGATTATATATATATATATATATATATATATATATATATATATATATATATATATATATATATATATATATATATATATATATATATATATATGTCGTACCTAGTAGCCAGAACGCACTTTTTGGCCTACTATGCAAGGCCCGATTTGCCTAATAAGCCAAGTTTTCATGAATTAATTGTTTTTCGGCTACCTAACCTACCTAACCAAACCTAACCTAACTTTTTCGGCTACCTAACCTAACCTAACCTAAAAAGATAGGTTAGGTTAGGTTAGGTAGGGTTGGTTAGGTTTGGTCATATATCTACGTTAATTTTAACTCCAATAAAAAAATATTGACCTCATACATAATGAAATGGGTAGCTTTATCATCTCATAAGAAAAAAAATTGAGAAAATATAATAATTCAGGAAAACTTGGCTTATTAGGCAAATCGGGCCTTGCATAGTAGGCCGAGAAGTGCATTCTGGCTACTAGGTACGACATATATATATATATATATATATATATATATATATATATATATATATATATATATATATATATATAATATATATATATATATACTGCTAGCCTTAGACTATATCAGCCATATACTACTGATCTTATACTTGCCTCATCTGCCACAGGTAACGACGGGGACTACACTACAGTGGTCATCAATATTATGATAAGATCTATTAACAAGATCGACGATTACCACATGGTGAGTGGAAGGGAGTGGGAAGGAGAATGGGTGGGAGGGAAGAAGAGACAGAAAGAAGAGATAAATGCCGGGAACAGTGTAGTTAACTTAGGAGACAAATGTGTAGATAGATACAGACGAGAGAGAGAGAGAGAGAGAGAGAGAGAGAGAGAGAGAGAGAGAGAGAGAGAGAGAGAGAGAGAGAGAGAGAGAGAGAGAGAGAGAGAGATCTAATAAAAAAACAGATACAGTCGTAGAGAGATTATTGTACAAATGAACACTGAACTTTCGTACATTCCCCCCCCCCCCGTATGTTGATTAGTGCGTGTTCTGTTTTCAGGAGTACAGTGTTCAGATGACCTTCAGAGAACTCTGGAATGATGACCGCCTTAACTACAGCAGCGAGGGAGGTAAGGCAGGTGTCGTGTAATCCCAAGTGTTCTAATTACCTCCAAACTCCAGCTGAGAGGGATCTAATGCTCCTCAAGCTATATATATATATATATATATATATATATATATATATATATATATATATATATATATATATATATATATATATATATATATATATATATATACATCAGCCATTTACGCCAGGTTTACGGGCTATTCATGCCTGGGCCACCTTCTTGTGTGGCTTAAGCTTCATCAATCTTACGCCAGATTCCCTATCAGATGCTCATGCAACATCCAAGGCTGTGCCATGTGCACAGTCAATACTCTTGGTACTTGTTGATGTCAAATTTAGCAGCAGATCTGATGTGCTTATTTTAACGCTTTAATTAATTTGTTTGTCATTTTGTGTAATGACTTTTGTCGAGATGCTTTTGTGTCACGCAACAAGGCTTTGTTTTTTCATTGGTCTTTGCAATATGTATTGTTATTAGAATTACTATTATTATTGTTGGATAAAACCCCACACTTGTGGATTTGTAAAATTTATGTAAGGAATTTACACCAAGTCTTTCGCACTCTCCTGAGTGCTGTGTCGAGGTCTGAGTGTGTGGTGAGGACCAGATTACATCTCAACGTCTAATCAGAGTGCGAAAGACTTGGTGTAAATTCTGTACATAAATTTCACAAATACACAAGTGTGGGTTTTGATCCTATGTTATTATGTCTGTGTGAAGACATTACCATTAATTATTATTATTATTAACATTATTGTCATCCACCAATACTTTCACTGTCATCCAACACTCCCTATCATCCACCAGTCAGTGAGCTACAAAATGCTTCCACTACTCATCCACAACTCACCACTCACTCGAACATCAGTCAAAGCGATGTATTGTACTCAACAAAGCCTTTCATTTTGTGTCAACAAAGAACTTACAAAGTAAAGGCTGGAACCCAACAGGTGCCACCCCCCCTCCCCCCCACACACTGTAAACACCATAGACACAGCTACACTCAGAACATAACGAAGAACAAAGCAGTAGAACAGGACAATATAAAAGAGAGCGTGGGAGAGTCAAAGCACCGAACAGGACAATGGGAGAACAGGGCACTATAAGATAGAACAAGGTAATATAACAGAGAACAGAGCAATGTAAGATAACGAGGTGGAATAACATGCAAGGGAACATATCGTAGAACAGGTTAATGTAACAGAGAACAAGGTTAAACTAACAGTCAACAGGACAGTATACAATAGAGCAAGGTAACATAATACATAATAACAGAACAGAAAGCATAACAGTTCTGGCATATAGCACAAAATTGAACAAAATAAAATATAATTCTAGTGCGTAACATCGAACATAACTAGTACAGAACAGGAGAACAACACTGAACAGGGTCTATTGCACACAAACCTGAATTCAATAATTTTTATAAATTTTTAAATTAAAAATTTTCAAGTATAATTTTTTTTAATAATTTTTTTTAAATTTTTAAAATAAAAATTTTCAAGTAATTATTTTAGAGAACAGGAAATAACAGCTGTTGCCTGCGTTAGTGAACATGACAAGAGAACAAAATAAAACAACATTTCACAGAACAGGAAAGTACTACAGATCATTGCTTTGAAAGAACAAAATAGCATAACAAATAGTACAATAGTACTTCGGTGAACAAAAAAAAAAAATCATCAAAATATCAAGAATTATTTTTTGTCACAGAAAACGGAAGAATAAATTCATTTTAAACATGACTAACTTATTTTGTAATTTGTCTCTTTGCTTGTCGCACATAAGTGGACACAATAAACCAATGAGGAGGATGAAGGAGTTTTGGGAATAGGAGGATGAAATTGGTTTTGGCGATGTTCTAGTTAATCTAATTCGTCTGTGATTGGAGGTGATTTGTCGATATTTAAAGTAAAACAAAACAAAACTAATTAGCGTTGATGAGCGTCATAGCCTCGCCACGGACCGGAGAGAGCGAGTGTTACAGACGTCGGAAGAAACTGCAATATTTCCCGTGGCAGCCACCAGGGACGCGTTCCCTTTCACGCTGGAGATTGTGTCTCGCTGGGAGGCGCCTTCTGTTTTGGTGGGGTAAATGTAGACCTCCTCCGCCCCCCCCCCTTACTCACCACCACCACCGCCCCCCCCCCTACTTACTCACCACCTCCGGCCCACTTATTCACCTCGGCCCCCTTACCCATCTCATCCACCTTACCCACCACCTCTAGCCATGATCAGATCCTCACCAAAGAGCACGCAGGCACCCTTACTCACCACTTTCTCTGACCCAAGAATCACTCAGCGGTCATCCGGTCGTCATCCAGCAGACATTCACTGCTCATCCAGCAGTCATAACGGCGCAGACATCCGGATATTATGGAAGTTCTTGCATTCGCAAACCTTTGTAATTTGCTGAGAGACCCTACGATATCCCGCCTCCCCCTTGATTGGTATAAGTAAATAAGGTCTTGTAATCATCTCTGTTTTAACGAGAGAATCCTTCTCCCATCCGAACTATCCGGAAGGATCCAGAGCATATAGAGAGAGTTTGTCTCTGATTAGTTGAGAGTATCTTAGGGATATATTTTCCTCTTTCCTGATTTGGTGAGAGGATGCACGAGGGAACCTTCTCTACGTTCCTGATTGGCTGACTGGAGACAATGTAAACAAGCTATGACGTCATATATCCCCGAGGAGCAGAGAGTCGTTATAATGATAAGGAATTAAAGAGAAATGGAGAAATGGGAGAGAGAGAGAGAGAGAGAGAGAGAGAGAGAGAGAGAGAGAGAGAGAGAGAGAGAGAGAGAGAGAGAGAGAGAGAGAGAGAGAGAGAGAGAGAGAGAGAGAGAGAGAGAGAGAAAATGAAATGAGGGAGACAAATAGAAGATTGAGAGAAGAGTAAGGTTAAAAAGAGAGAGAGCACAAAAGAACAGGAGAAGGATGAAAAGCAGGAGAAAGAAAGAAAGGAATAAGCAGTAGAAAGAAAGAAAGGAATAAGCAGTAGAAAGAAAGAAAGAAAGGAATAAGCAGTAGAAAGGAATAAGACGAGAGGTATAAGGGATGAACGTTGTGCATATGAGTGGCCTTAGGCATAGTATGTACTAGCTGCATCTAGTAATCTAACATTATGTTTGTAACTCATCTTGTATGTATGTACTTTTACCTCAATAAACATTTATTTATTTATTTTTTATTTATAAGGAAAAAGAAGGCCTGGAACCTGGAAGAGAGGAAAGAGGGGCTGGAGGAGATGGGAGAGAAGGAAGAGAGGATGGAGAAAGGATGGTGAAAGGAAAGGAAAGTGAAAGAGAAAGACACTGGAGAGAGAGAGGAACAAGGTTTAAGAACGAAGACTTGAGACACATGGCGAAACATTGTCAATAAATCTTTGAGAACTGGTCTATAAACAAAACTTAACCAGAGAACGAGGTAGTTAGGGTCGTTAGCAAAGTTAGGGTTCAGTTGGAGCGGACTTGACCCTAAACTTGTTTACCCCTATGTCACAAGTGGCTGCTTTATTGGTTGTTTATGCAACACTGAGTTTTATTGGTTAAATGGCCCGCGTTCCGAATATTAACACCTGTCGTAACTTACCCATAACTCACCTTTGCTTCAACTTGGCCACCTTCATCCCTGCTACAACTTACCTATCCTTATCCCTTGCCTTAACTTACCCATCCTCACCCCTGTCTACATACATCCACCCCCCCCCCCCCCACCCCCAAACTGTTTACACCCTCACGCACACACACACACACATCTTCACAAACACACACACACACACACACACACACTCACAGACACACACACACACACACACCCTCACAGACACACACACACACACACACACTCACAGACACACACACACACACACACTCACAAACACACACACACACACACACACACACACTCACAGACACACACACACACACACACCCTCACAGACACACACATCTCCAGCTACACCCACTGACAGTGTGCCTGTGTGACCAGGTCGCATCAAGTACCTGACCCTGACTGAGACAGACAAGATCTGGATGCCAGACTTGTTCTTCAAGAACGAGAAGACGGGCCACTTCCACGACATCATCCTCCCTAACACCTACATCAGGATATACCCCCACGGCGACGTCCTCTACAGCATCAGGTGAGTGGCAGCATCAGGTGAGAGGAACAGCAGAAGTTGATTGATCAAGATTTAATTGAGATTTACAGAGGAATGGAGGGAAATAATTGTAAGTTTTTTTATATATAGATTTCTGTAGGATTAATGGATGGAGTTTTAAGAGGTTTGTGAAAGGGGTGATGTTGAGTTTTTTAAGGGGTAGGTGGGGTTTATTAAGTGTTATGTGGGATTTATTTAAGGGTTTGAGGGATTTATTTATAGGTATGTAGAATTTATTTAGGGTTATGAATGATTTATTTATAGGTAAGATTTATTTAGGAGTAGGTGGGATATATTTAGGGGATACGTAGGAGTAATTTAGGTGTATGCGAAATTTATTTAGGGTATGTGAAATTGATTTAGTATATGGGATTTATTTTGGGGAATGTGAGGTTTATTTAAAGGTATGTGGAACTTTTTAAGGGGTACATATGATTTTGTTATCAAAATGGATTAATATAACCATAAAAAAATATTAAATATATATTATTTCTTCTGACTTTGTTGCAATCTTCATATTTTTGTGTTCAAGTGGACATATAATGCAGTAATGTAGATTTAGTAAAAATTCAGTAATGATAAAATAATAATGAGATACTATGCAAATAATGAAGCTAATTCTGGGTAATACTGATAATTATAATAATGCTCAGTTATAACATGGATTGGTGGATTTAACTTTATTTACTCAATAAATCTAGTAAGTTTAAATAAAAGTTTAAATCGAGTGTAACAAAAAAAAATGTCCATAAGTCAAATTAATATAATTAATAGTAAGAGTCTTTCCGCTACATCTCTTCCCTCATACCTCCCTCCCCCTCCTTCTTTTTTCCTTCCCTCCTTCTTCTTCCCCCCCCCCTTCCTCCTCACAGGATCTCGTTGACGCTGTCCTGCCCTATGGACCTGAAGCTCTACCCTCTCGACACCCAGGTCTGTGAGCTCCTCATGGCCTCCTGTGAGTACTTGTCTACTCTCGTTCCTGTGAGTGTACTGACTCTTAATGTTCCTGTGTGGGGGTACTGACTGGTGCCACGCCTGTGTGTGAGGTACTGTTTATAGTGTCACTTTTGTGTGTGCTGGCACTCCTGTGAGGGTTGTCTGCTGTGACTCCTCTGAGTACTGAATAGTGCTAATCCTGTGTGTATACTGACTGGTGTAATTGTGTAATTCCTGTGAGTACTGAATAGTGCCACTCGTGAATGTGTGTATATATTGGCTGGTGTCATTCCTCTGAGTACTGTTTACAGTACTTCCTGTGAGTATTGTCTAGTACCATTCCTGTAAGCACTGTCTGGGGTCACTCCTGTCTAGTACCAGTCCTGCGAGTACTGACTAATGATTCTCCTGTGAGTATTGACTCTGGCATCATTCCTGTGGCCACTAGTTACTATTACGTCCATCTCTCACAGCTGCTCTCAGAACGAGCATTTAGAGGTCAACTGAGGAATATACGAACCCGTGGCCACCTGCCCCAGACTCCCACCAGTTCCCCTGGGCCAGCCAGCCAGCCAGCCAGACAGCCAGCCAGCCAGCCAGCCAGCCAGACAGCCAGCCAGCCAGCCAGCCAGCCAGCCAACCAGCCAGCCATTCAACCAGCCAGCCAGCCAGTCAACTAGCCGGCCAGCCAACCAGCCAGCCAACCAGCCAACCAGCCAGCCAACCAGCCAACCAGCCAGCCAACCAGCCAACCAGCCAGCCAGCCAGCCAGCCAACCAACCAACCAACCAACCAGCCCATGTGGATACAAACAGGAGCTGCCTCGTATATAGGACCAATAAGGCCTTTCCGCAGTCTTCCTTATTTGTGTTTTGTATTGTTGTGTGATGATGGTGTCCACACTACCTAAGTCGCCATGTAACGTGGCTCACACAGCACCTCGCTCCTGACCTACTACACCTCACCTTGGCCCAAGACACCACGGACCATGTGTGTGTAACAAGGACCAGGCATGCTGTGGACCAGCTCTCTCTCTCACACACACACACATACACCTGTAATGTCCGTGGAGCTCCGTTGTGCCCCGTCTGTTCTGCCTCAGACATGCACATTTGTAATGGTATGAAGTGAATCATACTCATTCCTATATGGCAATGTGTATGATTCATTCCTATATCCTATATGGCAGCCTTGCAACTAACTGTGGGTCACTTGCTGCTTATGGTGGAAGGAATCTGTTAGTAATGCATCTCTTAGTAACTATATAATAATAAAAGTAATTATAATAATAATAATAATCATAATACTAACAATTTTGATTTAAAATGTACCGAAGTGCACTGGGGAATGGTTGAGTATTTGTTACATAAAATGTATATATATACATAAGGCCATTAATACGCAGAGCATAGAATTTTACTCCTAATGTGGTAATTGACCGGTTATATTTCAGTCTTTACTTGTTTAATGTATTAATTATTATTATTATTATTATTAATTATTATCATTATTATTACTATCAATTGTTATTATTATCAAATATTATTATTATCAAATATTTATTATTATTATTATTATTATTATTATTATTATTATTATTATTATTATTATTATATAAGAGTACCACCTCTGGGGCAACTGTAGGGACCCATTGCCTTGAAGAAGAAAATAAAGAGTATTCAGAGAAGACCTTGTGGATTCTCACTATCACTTTAATAATTTCTTCTTCTTATTATTATTTTTAGACGTAACTAGAGTTACTTTAAAGTTTGCAAGCTAGAAGTCTATTTTTTTCTTTTCTGTAGAGATATATCTGTAGTAATGTGCGGGGATTCTACACAATGTTATCACAATAACTTGAGATATCTATGAGAAATTAGTAGCGGGGTACCGGTAGCCTTCAAGTTATGTAAATTGCATCTTATTTAGCGGACCGTGATCCATGGGTTAATTAAGGTGCTCGTCTGCGGTGACCCAAGACGCTGGCTCCACTTTGGAAGTGTTGACGTGACCGTATGTGTGGTTGTCAACGTGTTGCCATAATGCGTACCGTAATTTTTCCATATTTCGGGTTATAATTATTATTATTCAGTAATTGTAATGTCTTCTCACAGCCATAATAACATAGGATGAAAACCCACACTTGTGTATTTGTGGGATTTATGTAAAGAATTGATTAGACGTTGAGATTTTATTTAAACAAGCTTAGGTATACGCAGTAATGTGCTGCTACCCTATTCTATATGAAAGATTACACAGTGTTGACCTGACCACACACTAGAAAGTGAAGGGACGACGACGTTTCGGTCCGTCCTGGACCATTCTTCAGTCGATGGTCCTGGACCATCCATCCTGGATCATTCTCAAGTCGACCATTCTCCGTGTTGATAAAAAACCAACTACAAGCTCGTACAACATCCTCACCTCACAGGACAGCCAGTCATACATGGAATCAGGAGAGAACGTGAAATGTAAGGCTGATCTATTAGCCTCCACTAGCAAAATCTGTGTATGCGCAAGAATATCTTCCAATATTCCTGAGTGTATGAAATAATTACAGAGCTCTAAGTACATCATGCCATTTGGTCTGAAATCACTGGGAACAGGGCAATCACAGATATAGTGTTGGAGAGAATGTCCCAGCTCTTGTTAACATAGTTTACAATTGGAATGTTCACCATTGCGGGACTCATTACCAGCAGCCACCTACCATAGATAGCGATATCCCAGCCTAATTCTGGCTATTACAGTATCACACTGTCTAGTGGATGTTTTATGCTTCCCGTATGTATAATTCTCGGTTCTAAACATGTCATAGCTCTTTATACTCGTGCTTTCTGGTCTTCGAGTGTCAGCAACTACTCTTCTGCCTTCCCTATTTTCTTGAGGTATTGCGGCTGTTATTGCAGAAATTGGAATCTAACTCAATTTCAGGTTTATCACATGCGTAGAGATATAAGTCTCATCCTCACCACTCACTTGGCACTTGGCACAGGACTTGACAAAGTACTCAGGAGAGTGCAAGAGTCTTGGTGTAAATTCTTTACATAAATTTCACAAATACACAAGTGTGGATTTTTATCCTATATTATTATTTTTGTTATTATTATTAACTTTACGGTTCGAAAAACTGTTTAAATTAGAATTTTAGCATTTATCTTGTATCAGATGTTGATTAATATCCAGCATCTCGTTAGGGAAAGGTTGATCGGATTTAATTGGATGATCACGTATGGGCTCACTCAACCTTAAAGTTCCTTTGGATGAGATGTCAACAGCAGTGGGTGTGGGAGTGTGCTCTCCTTGTAGTGCTTGTTTCTAAATAGGGGATCTTGCCGAGAGGGAGGAGGAGGAGGAGGAGTGTTGAACAGATTAATCTGTTTATGAAACATAGAACCCTGTTAAATTTTCAACGGTTTGTTTACTCTGTTAGTCATGGTAATTTGTACATGTCAGGAGAAAGGGCTAAATATTTAAGACAATGTTAAACAATACATTCTTCACTTTATGTATCTAAGAGCTCATCGTCTTGAGGACTGACTCTTATGTATTTAAGAGTTAGTCCTGAGTTCTTAGATGAAGAGTTTGAAAATATTGTTTCTGTTGGATTCAAGTTTGGCTAACCAGTTTAGCTTTTCGGAAGCTTGTCATAGCGAAGATAAGCTTACGTTATTTGACAAATTCAGCACTGAAAAATTGGTTAAAAATTTTGTTATGCTTACCATATTTTTCTGCATTCGAAAATATTGTCCAAGCCATAAAAAAATGTGGTATACGTGTGGTGTTTAATTATGAAAAACAATTTAAAAATTATTAGTTAGAAACAGCCCTCGTAGTGATGACTTTATCCTTTTCAAAGTACCATACATTCTATATTGATTTAACAAGAAATTTCGAATTTCGCGGCATAAATATTTTGATAAATCTACAAATATCTAACGGTCTATTTATTTATGTGGAAAATTTCCACTAAAATTATAGCATAACATGTCTGAGTAACTTGGTTCATGAAAGCATCTGGACCAGGCATGGCTATTTATAGAACAAACCAAGTTCTCCCAAGACAGAAAGTGTGTCAAGTCAGCATATTTGGACCATTTTGTGAACACCATTCCAGGGAACATTGTTAATGGATCCATACTAGGATATGTAATTACATCCAATAGCTGTAAGCACATCATGGTAATGCTCCAAAATAAATGATTGCTTAACCAAATATGTTTGGTTAATGATAGTATAAATAGATCCTTCAAACAGACAGAGTAACTATAACTCGCCTTGGGGTGGATCGCATGAGTGTCCAGACGCTGACACTTAGTAAACAATACTCCTCCACCTCATGGGGACTCCTGGTTCACCCTTGACGCCGAGCGGACGTCTGGATACCTCCTCCGCCTGGGAGCCGTCGGATCACGTCCTGTTTTCGCGTTTTGGCTTTGCTACTGCCGTTTGGCATCCCTATTCAACGGTCCGGTTGTACGACGCCTGGCGCACATATCACCTTGGGTCACGGGATTATTGATAGATTTTTTTTGACGTGTTCTGGCTGGTTCTCCCGGTGGGGTGACGATGTTTGGGGGCCGGCTTGGCCGAGAGGTGCCGGGGGTTGGCGGGTCTTGGTGGGCTCCTGGTGTGCCCACAGTCGTGGTGGGCGGCCGCCTTCTGCTCCGCCGGAGGACACTGGATGACTTTTTGCGTTTTAGTTGGGGGCCGAGTTTTGGTTTTGCTACCTGGTGTTCTCTATGTGGGGCGGGGCCGGTACTTGTCACCCTGAGGGACTCCTGGGACTCCCCAATCATCTGCCTGACTGTGCGTTTATTTGGCGTATGTCATATTAGTTTCTAGTGATTGGCGTCACTTGTTTTGGCTTGGCGTTTCACCTTTCCTGGCTTCGCGATTCACCCTTAACGGGTACACCGGGGCGCATCCGATCCCACAATCGTCGTCGCCCCTAAATCCCCTACAACACACCTCGGATGTACAAGCTGTTTAATACCAGTTGTTTTAAACCCGTGGACC